AACACTGAATCAGATTTCATCTTGTATAATACACTGTTACAATTGGTGCCCCCATTGGTGAGTGATAAATGAAACCCCTCTGAAGCAGTTAAATGATGTATGACAAAATAATGAAATAGTGTATTAGCTCTGTGTGATCCCAACGATGGGGGGTGTGGTGGGTTAACGAGTATGTAGCCCTGTGAAGTCCCGCAGTAAATCAGCAGGAAAACCCCTCGCTTATAATGCTGACTCAGTGCCAGGCACGACTCTGCTTCTTCCTCTATGCTATCGACATAATACTATGTAGTATGTCGCACGCAGTATACCAAAAACACCAGGATGTCATACTGCATCTGGTTAAAAAATTCAGTATACTGTACAAGTTAGTATGCTTTTTTCTGTCCCACAATCCTTAGCACAGCTGATATATGAGATGGTCACATTAAAATGTTATGATGAAGTAATATGTCTAATTTGTATGTGTACTTCATGCAACAATACGTACTTTGTAAGGGCAACTGCATCACCAAATGAAAGTAAAAAATTCAATTACGGTAACGGTAAATTATGGTTAATTTCAGCTGTTTTCAACTCCAAGTGTCCACTGTTTTTCGTTGACACTCGTGCGACTTATAGCTTGTTTATGCACTTGGTAGTGTTTTCTGTATTTGCAATGCCTTTCTGTATTTGGTTTTATTTACTTTTCTTGAGCTTTTTAAATGCTTCTAATACTTCTAAATACTGCTCGTGTTGTCAGTTTGATGAAGATATTTTCCTATATGGAAGTGTTACTTTTTACTTAATCTGTATTGTTCTTTGAGTTTTCTGGGCCACCAAATGATTGGCTCTGGTATGTGCAGTTCAGCAAAACTCATTTCTAATCTTGTATTGTATACTTGTTTTATATCGCAATTTGCACATTAAGGTTCCATTTAAATCAAACACAAATCAGGTCCCTATATTAAATGTGTCCATAAGTCAGTCAAGGGAGAGTGGATAAGCGATTGGGATAAGTCACCTGTCATTTCCTTGCGTGCCTTCATTTTTCCATACACATACTAATATTAAATGTATAAATTGGTATTGATTTACCACAAGAAGAATTATAGTTACTGCCTATTTCTCCTCAGGGTGAAGAGGATTAGATTCTCATTCAAAACGGCCCTTTGATGTTTCCTTCAAAGCTAAAATAGAATGATATTACAATGTGTTTCAGGCTCATCCCCTGGACAGAGTGCGGCTGAGCAGAGAGCATGGCCAGTGCTGCATGTGGATTTCCAGGTTAGTGAGGCTGAGCTCCAGCCAGCAGTGACGCTCAGAGACCCCCCCCCCCACTGTGGACAGCTTGAAGGTAGCCTGCCACCACTTATCATCACTGGAAGGAAAGCAGAAACACTCTCAATACGTCAATCAATCACGGAAGTTCTATATATTTTGCCCTATATCACAACATGTATTTCAGTGGGCTTTATATTCAGCATTCAACACCCACTGTCCTTAGCTTTGGTAGCAGACGTGAAAAAACTCCCCAAAGGAAACATAAAAATGAAAGGGAGAAAAATGAAAGAAACCTCCAATGATCAAGCAGTTGATGTTGTGCGTGCAGTATAAAACAATGTAATAACATTACATAGACAGAACAAAACGATAATGTGAAGATATATGAAAAAGAAAGACCCAGGAGGATTTCAAGTAGCTTCCAGGGGTCAGCAATAATATGAGCTGGGCAACAGGAGCAGCCATTATTCATGATCCAGACGCAGCCATGTTGCAATGTGCTAGACGGAGATAGTGCATGGATTCAGATTTAGTAACATGCATTTAAAAGACATGAATGCATACAGAAAGAGAGGACATGAGTGCATGCACTTTGCGTGATTATCTAGATGTTAAAATCAGCTGCTGAAAAGAGACTAAGATGTAATGTCAAGTAGAGGCAAAATTGGAGCAATGTAGCATAAGGATGCAATGCTAAAATTGTCATATAACAAACTGTGGTTCAAATGTCAATGATTAAAGTAAGGATTCTGAAATATGTCAAAGAACTAGTAAAAAACAAACAGATTCAAAACCAGTAGGATTCATCCTCTGAGGACCGTGAATCCATATATCCAAATTCATTTCAATCAAGCCAATAGAAAAATAATCAAAGTAAAGCCCTGAAAATAATTTATGGTTATGTGACACAGAGGAGTTTTTTTCTTAAATTTGACCAATGGTCTCTAAGAAAGGTTTTAAATAAACACACATACTGTAATGAATGCCCTCGTCAGTCTGCAGTGTATATAATTAATGAGTTACCTTGTGGACTGTCAGGCAATAGTAGAGTGTGTGCGTGTTCGTGAATGTGCGCGCGTGTGTGCAAAACCAAACACAGCTTGCTGTTATTAAGTATTGTTGGAGGGTGTCACACTATCAGCAGTGAATAATGGCTTGCAGTGAAGGACACAGGGGCAAACAAAGGAGCAGCCTCACTCTTGTCCTACTGTATGCAATTGACAAGGATACATACAGAAGTACTACTTTTAGGGCAGGAAAGGGCAGATAAAGTGGTTCTGAGAACTCAACGCACGGCAAACAAAGAAAATATCTCCACCAATTCAACAATAAAAGCGTCATTTTGAAAAAGCGCTGCCAAAAGACAAATAGACTGCAAGAAGCTCACAACACAATGGAGACTGTATCCAAGGGAACGCTACTAAATGCGGGTGTAGTCCACAGGAAAAACGAACACAACAGCAGCAGTGTTGTAGTCAAGACCACCTTAACCGAGACCAAGTCATGACCAACACTTTAAGAGGTGGAGACCAAGTCAAGACCAATATCTTGCTGCTGTTTTTGTACCCCACACCCTAAAGAATGGAGCTTCAACATTTAAGATTCAATATTCAAAGGTTTTATTGATATGTGCGCAATAGCTAGTTGTTGGCAATTCACTTCTTAAGTGTTGGGCGCCTCCAACAGTGCAACATACAATATACTTAAGACATGAAAAAAGACAGAAATAGTGAAAGAATAAAGTGTCACAATGGTGCAAGTAAAATGCAGGAATAATACACGATGTTGACGTAAAATAGAATAAGATAAACTAAAGTCAAACTAAATTCTGTACAGTGGAATAAAATACTGCGTATAAATATGTGGGCTTTAAACAGATGAATGTGCTCAAATGTACTCATTTGTTTTATGTCTTATATATATTTATGTTGCATTGTTGGAGGAGCCTGGGACTTTAGATTTTAATTGCCATCACTACACTGTAGCTGTGCATATGACAATATAGTCTTTTATGACTTGTCTCAATTTTTTTTTTAATGGTAAATTACTTTTTTATATATATAATCGTTATATTTTCGACCTTCTCTTTTAACTTATTTTCTTACATTGATTATGTTTGCACCATTATACACCAAAGCAAATTCCTTGTATGTGTAAACAATAAAGGTAGATTCTGATTCTGAGCCTTTAAAGTTGAACTGCTATGAGTTCTCTCTTTAACTGAGTTTAGGGGGTGTAAGGGGCCAGATGGAATTGTGAGGATCACGGTGATAATCACTTCACAGAAACACCCCCTGTCGGAGCCTCAAGCTTACTTTTAGCCCCAGGGCAAACTGGGGGGTAATCCAGCCCTGCTTTAGCCTCCTGAGTCCCTAAACCAGTGGTGTCAAACATGCGGCTTGTGAGCCAAAACCGGCCCGCCAGTAAAATATTACAGAGAAGACATTAACTGAAAACAACAAAACAAGGCATTGCACTAGTAGAAATTAAAGAGTAGAAATAAACAATACTGGAATTTAAATATCTCAAAATAGAATTAAAACTAGGGCTGAACGATATATCGTGTCATGGCGATAACCGCGATATGCGCATGCGCGATTTTCACATCGCAGGGACGTGCGATTTTATTAATTTTTTATAATAATTTTTTTTTTTTTAGTTCGTGCAATATTAAGTAGGTACATTAACTCAAACACGTCATGTTACAATTATTTTTGCTGCTTGCTACAAAAGGAAAAGTTGCGCAGCTCTCATGTCAGGGGTACTTGAGTGAGTGACATGTAGGCTCTGCATGCACAGCAAACCACCAATCACAATCATTCTTGATCAGATCACAGCAGGCCCCGCCCCGCTAGTTTGCAGACCATCAAAACACCGGTAAAAAATTAGCGAGGAACAGGAGGACAATACCAGCGGAAGATACCTTTGCGTTCAGTTATTATGCTCCAAATATCTGGAACAAACTCCCAGAAACCTGCAGGTCCGCTGCAACTCTGACTACTTTTAACATTTGGGGCTTGTAACCCCAGGGAACCAGTGTCTGGGGACTCTGTCCTGGCTGGTTTTCTCTGTGCTGCTCGGGACGTATGTGCCATACAAGCGTACACAGCTCATGTTCGGATAAACCTTAAAGAAAGGCTTCAGTAAAATGGAACTTCTGTGTGAACTATTCATATCTTAAACTGCACATTAACTTTCTATTCATGTACTTTTTATTCATGTGCTTTTTATTCATGTATTTTTTCTTTTAATGTTTCTTTTATTATCTATTCTTTTTAATGACTGTTTTTAAATGCCTTTGTCTGAATGTCTTTCATTTTTGTAAAGCACCTTGAATTGCCTTGTGTTGAAAGGTGCTATATAAATAAACTTGCCTTGCGTTGCCTGGCCTTGCCTTGCCTTACATTGAGTTTAGGGAATGGAATTAAATAAAATATAAATTTCAAATGTAAATGTGTGTTCCTAATGTTTTGTAGATAGTTCATTAAACGTGAACATTTTCAGAATGTACCTTGTTTGCACTAAAACAAAGGTAGTTATCATAGGTCATTATGCTATGATTTTACTGATCCGGCCCATTTGTGATCGAATTTGGCTGTGGCCCCTGAACTAAAATGCGTGTGACCCTCCTGAGCGCCTAACCACAGCCGGTCCGGTCCAGACTCCAGTCCGTCCTGATCCACTCCTTCTTCCCCGGCGTCCCCTCTCTGGATGCCGAGCTGTGATTGGACGCTGGAAGCTTGTCAGGAAGAAAGAGCTGCTGTGTTGAGGCCGAAAACTCAGACACACAAGCAGGACCTGGGTGATACCGGACTTACCCCCGTGGAAGGGATATATCTCTGCTCCACCGGACAGTAGGAAGTGGTTTTAACTGACCGGCGGAGCTCCGACCGAGTCCCCGGGCTTCAGCTACGGAGGCCGCCGCGGGTCCGCTGCTCCCCGCCGCCTGTGTGTCGCTGCCTGCTGCTCACAGTCATCCAGACCCTGGTAATGATATTGAAAGGAGACACAACAGACACCACAAAACCTGTGTGAGATTTGAGTGTGAGGAAGGCGAAGGGCTCAGCTGTTGCTGCCGGTAGCCATGGCTAACAGCTGAGGCTGCTGCCCGGTAAACATCCCGCTACAGACCCAACTACAAGAACAACTCAGCGGCGGAACATTGTCTTATTTTGCGCAAGAACTGTCACCTGCACTCTCGTTTTGAAGAAGCGATGTATTCCTGGGGATTTATTTGATTAAGGACATCTAAAAGTATCTGCATCAGGTGAGTGGATTCCGCAGTTTTTCTGACCTTACCTCACTACCAGCTTCATTCTAGCTGCGATATTTTTCCACGACTTGTGTGTCACTTGTGATCATAACCTTAAAAAGTCCTTGTGATCAAATGTCCATTAAGGCCTCTATGTATATGTATAGTCCATGTTTTGTTCATACAGCCAGCCACGCAGCTGATTTAGGATCTGTACCATGCAAAACCTGCAGAAAACTGCTCCTTTTTTATTACACTAAATACAGGAGGGGGTAGGATTAGCAGCACCATGCTTCAGTCAGCCTTCCTCTTCCATATGTCTCATACTCTTTGGGAAATCTGGAAGTAAAGGGAAACATTGTTGTGTTTTATAAGTATGCTAATTTGTGCCTCTTTCCAGTCTTTGTGCTTTCTGTTCGGGTGCATCAGCAGACATTGGTCACAGTGGAGAGTGGAACAGCAACAGTTGCACAGAGACACAGTGTAAAAGCAGAGAGAAGAGATGGTAGCCTAATGCAAACCCTGCTGAGCTTTGTGGATTTAACACATTTCTCATTTACTTTTCCACTACTCACTTCAAAACAAGTGGTTGAAAAGAAAGGACCAGAGTACTTTATTTATCCTGGGGGGGATGTAGTTGTGTGCCAGTTGCTCCATTTCAGATGGAAAATAATCTACAATTAAAAGATCAAATACAAAATATGTTCACAAACATAAGAAGTTAAAGTCCATAAGAAACAAAAGGAATCCCCTTTAAAATAATATTAATTAACATAGGATACTTATGTTTATAACATAAGGGGTTAGAGTACAAATGTGCACATTGTATCACAATATGTAAGATGTGTATTTAAATATATACATTAGTGTTTTCGTTTAATAATATATTAATGAAGAATTGCACAAAGTGTTTAAAATGGTTTTGGTGATATGTAATATAACGTAAGTAGTGTCAAAATGTATCCAGTTCTTATTCACCTATGAAGGAAATACAAATGTTTACTATACATTAAAGTTATCTTTTTAGGACATTGAAAAAAAAGTTGTTCTTTTAAACAAATAAATTACAAATTTTTGGTGCTGGATTCAATTTACATTTCTACAGATTTGTATTGTTTTTCTATTTAATTGACAATTTCGCTTTTGTATCGCTCTCCAATAAAAGCCTTCAGCTACAAAAGTACTAAGACTTGTTTTCAGTTTGGTTGGCATAGCATTTTTCATAGAGTCCAATGAGTTTCAACACTCTATTAAACACAGTGAGGACGATCTTTTTTCAAACCATACATTTGAGACTTATGGTTTTCACTGGGCAATGATTGGGTTAAACCAAGTTACAATGGCTGCGTACAACTGATGCTCCTGACTGAGGAAGAAAGTTAGTCCAGCATTCATCAGGGCAGCATCTCATGATGATTTCAGTACTGATCATTTATCAATCAAGCCTTTCGCCTCTAGATGTCATAATAATGACATCGACTAACTTTAAGGCCCCAGAGCTACAACTGATTGCCATTATTGGTGATATTTTGTCAATTAACTGATTGATCATTTGGTCTAAAATGTCTGAAAATACAATCACAATTTTCAAGAGTAAGGCTGTGTCTGGAGATTTAATTTTCTGACATTTAAAAATCCCAAAATATTCAGTCCATATAAAACTGACCAGATGGGACCAGTAAATGTTTTTGCTTGAAAAATACTGTACTTTTTAAATGTAATTTTCCTAACTTGGTAATCATCATCACTTGTTGGAGCACTAGCCAATAGAAGCTTGAGTGTTACACAGTGATGTCACTATGTTATGGAAGTAAACAAAGCAGTCCAATTGAGAAAATGGAAGATAAACTGCTCTTGAATGTGGTGTGAATTTGGGGATTTGTAGCCTTTGCAGACCATTGACATGCACTAAAACATATATAACACTACAGGAAAGGGAGAACCCAAAAAGCCTAATAGGGCCTGTTATACTTTTTTAAAATATATTGTATTCCTTATGGTCACCTTTTATAGTAAGCAACCCAGAGAATTAAGCAATACGATATACAGTATAGACACCATAAGTCAATAACCTTAAGACATTCAGAGACGGTGGGTATCTCCATCCGTCCTGTTCATAGTGTATCATGTGTCATGTCTGTTTGTCTTCATTAATGAGTGTGGATGCCGACTCTCCGGGGATTGTATGGTGGAACAGCAAACAAGCCTGTTCTGTCCACTGCTTCATTGATTTCCCCATTCCGGCCCGGCGGCATTAAACAGCCACATTTCAGGTGATGCACTCATCACGATGTAATCACTGGAGATGTTCGGCAAGTGAATGCCCCTCCGCTGGAGATGAGCTCAGACTACGAAACTACTACCATACGAGTAGTGAAGTTGAATGAACATTTGAGAGAGTGTAGGCACTGTTGAGCTATTCATACTTTTTCTCCATTTAAGATATTCTTAGAAGGTCTGGCTATTTGCGATATTATCTCCAGCATAATTACATCTGTATTTAACAACATTATCTAAAATATATTTATTTTGCTTGATTTTCATTGGATTGTGATTGGCCCGCAGCCTCTCACCAGCATACTAGTGTATCTGCTGATTTCTAGTGAAGCAACATTTAGTCTAGGTGTGTGTGTTTGTATGATGTTGTAGAGAGTGGATGTTAGGCAGGAGGAAGTCAGTTACTGTGACGATTGTTGTGCGTTGTTTCCCAGATGTAGCGAGGCGGTGGGGTGACTGTTCACTGCCCTGAAGAGATGCTGCTGAAATAACCTCTGACATTCACACTGAATGGACTGGCCCTTTTCTCTCCATCCTCAGTGGGCGGTCATGTGGGAGTAATTCAGTGGCTGGTTACATGGCTGCTTACCGCCAGCATTTGTCTGTTCACTCTCTGCTACACTAATGCAGATTTAGATTTAAGAGCAATTTCTTTCCTGAGCCTTTGCAGTGTACTGTGTAGGCCAGCTGTCACTACCCACTGTTGCTGAAAAAGTACAGTATCTTCTCGAAATGTGACAAATACATGAATGAGACATTCTGAAAAGTGACAAAATTCAACATCAGCCTTAAAAACAACCAAACATAACCCTTTATTATCGCTTGTGTTTTTTTTCTTCAAATGGGGCATTGTTTCCTCACTCATACTTATTTACATATTGTTAAATCATTTCCTTCAAACTGCTGCATGTATTTGATCCGTAGGGGATACATAGGTGTCTAGCAATCACAGGATCATTGGTTCGATCCCCAGTCCCTGAAGTCCATGTCCAAGTGTCCTTGGGCAAGATACTTAACCCCAAATTGCCAGTCCTTTTTATATTGTAAGGAAGTTTAACAGGTCATAATTCCCTCCCAGCAGGTTGACTGAGTAGTAATCATAATCAAAATGTTTTTTAGTTTGAAGTGGTGGCTCAGACACTGTGGCAAGCTCTTCACTCAATGTGCGGTCCCTTTTAGAAAAGCGACTTAAGACCCACTTATTAAAATTGGCCTGGTCTACTCTGGACTCATGCTGAGTGTTTTTTAATTTATTGTGGTTTTTTAGTGTCTGTTATTGGTTAGTTTCAGTTTTTACGGTTGTCATTTCTTCATTTTATTTGCGCAAAGCATTTTGTGTGTAGTTGTTCCTCTGATCTTGACAAACAAACCCCTTAAACTGAGCCATATCCCCTCTGGTGGAGGTAACAATGTAATGTGGACGTCACTCTTTAAAGGCATATCCTGCATTAGCATTCAGGATTAGCATTGGTTATGAATCTTCCATTATACATGTCATGCAAACATGCTGCCAAACCTTCACGAAGCATTATGTACATTGCTAATGTGAAAATCACATTTGAGTAAAATACTCTTTTTAAGATAAATGTGTCCTTCAAGACGATCAAAAAAATGGAAACCGGTGGATTTGAATAAAGTTAACATTTAATCGTACACATAGTGAAATGTAGAATCTTAATTTAACCAATCCTAGTATTGTTAGTTTCAGCTTGAATGCACTCTTTTCTGTAGACTTGGCAAACTGAAAAATATTTCCTCTTGATCGTAATACATGCATATGTAACCGGTTACGCTCTCACGGGTGACAGACTACAGGATGAAGCGTTAGAATTAATAATTGGATTTTTTCACATCAATTTGATGTGGCACTCTAAGACATACAGACTATTTAATTATATCTTAGACCAACATAAAATCCAGGAAACATGACCACTTTCTGAAGGTTCATTATCTCCTACTCTCACACCGTATCTCACAACACTTGGATTCTGCTACTCTCTGCAATGAGTGCTGGAACATTGTAATTTTTATTTTCTTCTCCAAAACAAATTGTTCCTGATAGCTTCAGAGTACTAATGCAGAGATTAGCTTAAAGTCTGCCACTGAAATGTTCCTAAACCTTAATATTTCTTCATCAAAACCGTTGATTTATTCAGTAAACAAAGAATAATGCAGCAGCTCACTGACTCATTATAGATGTAATTTGTTATTCATTATTTCCCATTGATTACATTTGATTCATTCTTAATGTCTAAACATTTCATTCTCAGTTGCCCGTGTGCTGCGTTTTAATTTCTCTGTGTGCTGCATCTAGTTTAACATACAGTGATTAACAATGACAAGGACAAATACAGCATCCACATATGTTATCCTAGGTGGTGTTAAAGGGGCCCTTTTGGAGCTATATTTAATTTTGTGTGCATGTAAATGGTCTGCAAAGGATAAATCCCAAAGTTCCCTCCAGTGGGAGTTTCTTTCCCACGGCACAAAATACAAATATGAACCCCAAAATGAGCACAATATGTCCACTTTACGGGCTTTAATGGCCAGATTGACGAATGACTGTTGAAACAGTGCTGCCTCTTGAGGGCAGTGGCTTAAACTCAGGCTGGAAAACATGAGATGGATCTGAGATCTTTTTTATTTAGGTGATTTCTCAAAAGTAAGCTGAAGTTTGGGTTGCTGATTGACTCCTATGATCTTCATAGCTGTCTATACGTTTGGTGATCCTTTGAACC